GTTCTCTCAACTTGGCTGATGGTTGGGACCTCCAGCGTCTCAATAGCAAGCTGACAACAAGTTGCAAAAACTGAGTCCTCATCCCGACTTGCTCAGCGAGCCAAACGGCAAAGAAAAACACATATCGGGATTGTATTGGATATTTGTCGATTCCATCTTGAGTGAAAAGCCCAGAATCCACTGAACGACAAGCTCCTGCCTCCAAATGGGGGAACCACCCAAAAAATGGCTGGCGGCCTTTCTCTTTATTGAACCGGCACGCTTCTCTTGGTTCATTTGAAACGGAATGATAGCAAGTGAAAAGGGGACAAGTTGACTCACAAAGAAGAGCAGGATATCTCTGAGCATAATCCCCATCCGGAACCTTTCCGGAACCTTGGAATCCTTCAGGACACCCCAAACGGCCCCACACGACTGAAAATCCACCAAAAAGAAACGGATTCCGCCCTTTGGGGGTTTCTCCACTTTGGAAGTCCACCCCCAAGGGCTCCCAAGCCTCCCTGCAATTCACTTCTTGGAAAACTAGGCCGCCGAAACTGTTTCGGCGGCCCGTTTTCAGATCCCCTGCTGATGTTTTTCTTCTTTTAGTGGGTTAAATGGAAACCACCACTAAACACTAAACGGGGAGCCACCAAGCTATGTGTGAGACAAGTGGTATTCAGCCAGGGAGCCCCTTGCCATTTGTTTGGCCCCTGGGCTGCATCGGAAAGCATCTCACTTGACACATGGCCTCACAAGACCCGCCAAGGAAAGGCAACTCTCTCGACATTGGCACCACCGAAAGGGTGCTGTGGAGAGGCCTCTCCAGCTTGTCATCCGCAGGCTGGGGCTCCTGCGGAAGGAAGCCACCTGAATCTCACCTCCCGCAAAACCAAAAACAAGGCTCCCGCTACCCCACGCATTCGGTAGCCTTTCCACCCTCTCATCTAGGTCCTCCAGTAGAGAGGTTAGAATAGGGGTACCCTTTTTTCTGTAGTCTAGGGGAACCCTCCCCCAAAAAAGGGTAAAAGGGCACTACTAGGGGACCTAGTCATGTTTCATTGTTTGAATCACTTCTCTTTTAAGCACCGGATGCCCTTTCCAACAAACCGGATTCTCCAGGTATTTCTGGGATTGACTATTGGGGGCCCCCTCCTAGTGGATCCCACGCTTACCATAGCAGGCCACCTTTCTCCGTTTAGTTTACCGAATGTCAGCTGGAGACTCACGATGCGTCCTGCCCCTCAGCAGATTGCTGCTGCTTCCAAGACCTTGGAAGCCAACCGCGACATTTGAGATCACCATGGGCTACATGGCCCCCGAACCGGCCAGCCGGACTGTGACTGGCAATGCGCATGGAACCAACACGACAAATCGTCTCAATAATTTTCCGCAGCTTCTCGATATCGGCGTAACAGTTAACATGGCATCAGCTTTCGTCTTGACCTTCGGCTTCCAAAGGGAAGGCTGGCGGGGGGCTCCAACGTGTGAGTTTCCATCTCTTGGACGGCAGTCTGTAACTACCCGCAGTTGCGCAGTGGTACCCAGTTTCCCCGATGTTGCCTTTCGAATTGAAGGGACGAATACAGCGGCCATACGACAGAACGACAAAATGGGGCCTTCACTCCATTCCTCTACAAGTGACCTATTGTCAGGATTCAATGTGCAGTGTCCAAGTGCAAAACCACGCATGCAACCCAATCCTCCCATGTAGAAGAGCCAAGCCAGATCTCGAGTAAGGGGGGCAAAGATGCGTCACAGACCCCAGCCATGCTCCTTCGGAGAATTTGCGCGCAAAAGCCCAAAGGACCTGGAACAAAAAGCCTCAACCAAAGGACAGAAGGTCAGCTCTCGGCTAGTGAGACCGTGTTGTCCTAAAAGGTCACAGTTTGCAAAGTACGTGTTTTCGAGTATATGGAGCAGCATGAGTGGTTCCAGAAGTCTGGCGCCACACTTGGGTTCCCTATTTATAGTGGGTCCCGACCACCAAACAAAAGCATCGTGTGGACGGTGCCACGAAACAGAAAAAGTTCCCTCGTGGTTGATTGTTTACGGGAAAGCGCAGAACTTTTGGGGGTCTTCTCAAAGAGGACCCGCAAGGCTTTGGCTCTCAAAATCGAGGATCCCCCCCAAATATACATATATATATATAGATATATAATATTTTGCGGTTTGTCCAGTGGTTTCCCTTAAAACCCGCCTTAAAACAGGTACCCCCCCCAAAAAACAAACATTACACACACACACACACACCGACCCACCAATGGACCGGGTGGACTTCCTCACCCCCCGCGCCTACCGCGTTGTTTCCTCCGAGGCCTCCGGCCGCCACATGGCGTTTTCGATGCGCCGCGCATCCAGCTCCTCGCCGACTGAGTGACCCGTGGAGAGAGCCCGAGCACCAAACCACTTGCTGGCTGCGATGGGTAGGGAATGAGTGTGCGGGTGCTCAGGGGAATGAGCGTGCGATAGGTAGGGAATGAGAAATGGAATGAACCTGGCGATCCCCTGAAATGAAACCACCAGTTGGATGGCTTTTCTTGGGTCATTCCCTCATTCCCTGCTAAGCACCAAGACAAACGACCTGAAAAGTGGTCCCCTGTGAGAGGACAATTCCGTGACGGGCACTCCCCAAAAAGAAAATGAAGCCTGAAAAATGGTCCCTGGTAGAGGAAATGTCCATGAGGTGCCTTTCAGGCACCATGTTTGTTTTTGAAAGAGGGTAGTGGGATGTTGCCCCACTATGATGGACGGACTTCGTGTTTTTGAGGGTAAGGTCCAGGTCGACCCTGAAATTGGGGAAGCTATAGGTGTTGGTTTATGAACTCTTGGATTCTGGCACAAATGTGTCATATGACAGCAAAAACATTCACAAACATGGAAGAACAAATCCCCACGTAAGGGCCCTTCATCGTGGGTGAGCTCCGTTCTTTTTGGGTGAGCTCGATGCTACTCGCCGAGAATGACATGCCCTGAAAGTCAAGCTGACAAAAAACAAAGATCATGGTATATGCGTTGGTTTCACAATAGGGACCTGCAAATTGGCTGAACAGGGGGTCCATCCATTCTGAGACAGACCCATATCGGTTTGCCAAACCCCTTCCTCTCGGCATGATTGCAAGCAAAAAGCCAAAGGGCCAAGCACCTTACGATGCATGGGTTAAAAAATGGACACGTTCCGGGTAGGTCACACCCTGGAGGCGATTGTTGCTTTTCTGTGTGTGGAGTGATTGTCGGGGTGGTTCAGGGCTAAGGGGTATATCCGGGGCACCGCTTCTCTGAAAGGCATCCATGGAGATTAAAAGAGACTGCTGCAGGGTCGAATAAGTCCGAAAGACTGGCTTCCGGGTGATTCCCCTTGAAAACTAGGAACCAAACTAGTTGTGTCACATCGCAAATGTGATATGTCACCTCCATAAAGAAAGTTGAAAGAAGGGAATATTCCATCGCCTGATCGGTCAATTCACCTCCCCCTTGAGCTTGTTCAAAGCCAGATGAGCTCCCGGCTCCTCATGGAATTCCAATGATCCTTTCGCCATGGCTCTATTCCTCGCTCGGATCTCCAGGGGATGTGTTGGACGTTTCTCTACCAGGCGGCTGGGGGCCAGTGTCGCACATGTAAAGCTCAACCAACCAGCTCGTCGGTCGCCTTCGTGCCAACCGCTGCGGCGATCCGCGAGAGCTTGCAAATCTGATGCTGACAGAATCCACAAGTCGACCTTTCCAACATGGAAGTGGACAGGGGGCTTACCCACAAACATTCGGAAGTGGACAGGGGGCTTACCCAGCGCTTCCATGACGTCGGCCTGCGGCAAATCTGGGGCCCAATCCCCACGGCTGCCGCATCAATGCCGCCGTGAGGTGTCTCGAGTCTCAAACCACTGCCCCCGCCTCTCCCCCCCCCAACCCCGACATGTCGATGCCAGCTGTTGTCTGTAGTCGTCCAACTTTGCTGTGTGTGTGTGTGCGTTTTTGTTTGGGGGGCGGTGAAAGACGTGAATGTCGCACATCAACGCCTTCAGGGCAACAAGCTGCTGGATGGCCCAGCAAAACACCTCCACATTACTTGGCCGCCTGGTGCGTGCCCGAAAAAGGGAGCTGTCTTACTACGAGCTGAGATGTACCTTTGGTACATCAACGTTACAGTAACGAAATCAGGGACTACACGTGTACTCAAGAGGACAAAGGGAGCCTAGGCATTGCAATGATCTACAAGCCCTGCTCCTTTTTGTATGCGTCAAACCAGGTAGGTCGGCCCCCAGCGGCCATCGGTTCATACAAAGGGCTCATAGGGCAGCCATACCGTATTTTCAACTCTGGGGACATGCCCCCATAAAAAGTCGGTCTGGGTGTATGTCTTCATACAGTATGAAAAGGATTTTGAGCACGTACCCCAAGAGAGGGCTCATAGCAATTGGTTCATATCAATGCGCTTTTCTTGTTTTTGGTTTCCCCTTAAACCAAGCCTCAAAATGGGACCTGGAAAAGCACAGCCTCATCTGGCCAGCTGACGCTCACATCCATATTTACAGGGGTCACTGGATTTCCCCTCCAAAAGTTGACGAGTGTACTGGTTTCCATTGAAACTGATCCGCTTTGGGAGGTTCCCAGCCAAATGGCTCGGACACCCCAACCAAAAAGCCAGGGAATGGAATTGGAAGGCACAGCCGGCCATGTTTTTTTTTTTTTTTTTCGGGCTCGCCATCCTCAAAGCGCTGGCCCTTCCACTGCTGCTGCCTTGTGTCTACTAGGTCCTCCAGGAGAAAGGCCAGAATCGGGTACCCATTTTTTCTGTAGTCTATTTCAGTAGGGGAACCCTCCCCCAAAAAAGGGTAAAAGGGCACTACTGCGGGACCTAGACAAACAACGGATTTGTTTGGAGGCAGATGCCCAGTGGCCATGGCAAAAAAGGCCACCCTCCTTTGTTGGCTGAGTTTTTAAGGGGAACCCTTACCCAAAAATAGGAAGAAATAGGGCAACAAAAAGGAGGCAAACATGGGAGAACGGGCTGAGGCCGGCACTCCAGAGCAATGTAAGAGGCTCCCACCACCAGCGTCTTACCGGGCGCCTCAAGGCGCTTGGACTCACCAACACACTTGGACATAAAAGGAAGGGAATCAAGGGGCCGCAACTAAAAACTAAACCAAATTAAACCAAAAGGAACGCCCCTTGGAATCGCCAGCTGCTTTAGACGAAATGCTCTTGGATCCACCACTCCCCCTCCACTAAACCGCCTCTCCCCTGCTTCCCCAAACATATGACCGGTTAGTGGGGGGTGGAGATCATATCCGCAAATTCTGCAGTAACACTTAATTGATGCCCAAGCAAAGGACCGGTATCATGGTAAGCTCGATCTATTCCCGGATCCGTGAGCACTCCATGAAACAAATAGGAAGATCACACTGTGGACGGACAAAGTCTTGCACCCGTTGGGATATATGACATGACAAATGGGATAAACCACTTCCAACTGCTGTGAAACGGCTTTTGTCCAGGCCTCTTCCGTGGAAGAAACGAGGTATGTACGGGGGCGTCGCGGAAGGCAACCGTTGGATCCAAGCGAATCGCCTTCTTCTGCCAGAAGATGTCGTCAGAGCTGATGCAGCACTCCTACGCCCCAAAAGGGCGGTCTGGATCCGACTTTTTGCACGTGGGTATGTGGCAACCGCTGAGCTGCCTTTTGGTTCTCACCCAAAAAAATGCGTCCTCAACCAAAACACCCACCCACCTGTTGGCATACCCGCCAATGGAAGTTCGTTTTAGGATTAAGCCGATTAGCTTCTCCAATAAGGCAGTCTCAAAAGCAGCGTCATACGAATTAAACGACAGATGCTCTAAATATTGCAAGTAGGCGAACAAGTTGGACATCCTGCGCTTGGTGGTTGGTGGTCGGTGCTTGGTTCACTTGAGCTATGGACACCTTTGAGCTAGTTGTCCTTGATAGTCCTGGCAAGAGTCACCAAGGACCTGGACCCTAAACTGCCCTCCGAAATGAGAAATCATCCGATAACTTGTGGGGCTCTATCCCATCGGGTTGAGAGCACAGGTAACTAACATGACTTAAGGTCCCTGAGACCATCTTCACCTTGATATCTACTTATGGGCGCCAGTCATGTACAGGGTGAAACGCAGCTGAACATGAAGAAGGACTTCTTTTGGGATGGTGTTGAAAGTGCATAAGTCAACCAACAATGACCAAGCATAACCAAGCATTTTGGGCCATCTGAAGTGAACTCCGTAGAGCGTGACGCAACTATCTCAACTTCACTGGAGTCGCAGCGACCAACCTGTTGGTTGCGGAATTCCTGTAAACCCAATCTGTTTTGACCCCGCGTATGGGTGACACATGAACTGGCCACTCAATGTCCAATGATCACCTGTATATACATATATATATATACACATATAGTATTGAACATATGTATATGTAATATGTAGGTAGTATGTACACATATTTACGGTGTATACTATGTACATATATAATCCTCCGCGACAGCTGTCAGCTTTTTGCTTGAAGGTTTTAGCACGCGAAGGCTTCGAAGGACCAAGACAAAGAGGGCAAGCAGAAACGTGGGTCGCCCTTTCGTTCAAGACGCGCCTTTCCAGCATCAAAAGCCATACCCTAACAAACTCGAAAAGGAGAGAGCACGACGCATAGAACCTGACGAGAACTCTGGACCATGCTCCTCTCAAGGGGAGCTTCTGCTGGGCTCCATGTGGGAGAGAGGATTATGAAGTCTAGCCACAACCTTCAAGGAACCGCACATCTGGGCAGTTCAGAAGCCACAACTCTGATTGGGAAATCCGATACCTGCCCTGGCATGGGACCCCGTAAGAAGCTTGGGCTCCAAAATCCCATTGAGGAAGCACTTGAGTTAAAGCAAATCGGTTGCCGAAGGTCCAACTTGGTTTCTCAGCGGGACCCGTTCCCTAACCATCCCCAAAAGGCACACGATCACATCACAGCCCATGCAAACCGAGCCATTGGAAGCCAAACTGTCTAACCGCACAAACAAGTAGGTTTCAAGCACGCAACCAAAACAAAGTCTTCACTTTGAACATTTGGTCACCCTTCAAACCAACCCCAAAAGGACGTACCCAACCAAAACACATGTTCCCTTTGGCTGCCTTTCAGCCAAACTAGGTCTTCCAGTAGAGAGGCTAGAATAAGGGTACCCTTTTTTTTCTGCAGTTTTGCCCCCCAAAAAAAGGGTAAAAGGGCACTAGCTCAAACCAGGGCTACAACACCCGCAACACGCCAACTTCCGCCGCCTTCACCCCGGGCACATCGCCGTAGGTCGGCCGGCCCCCACAGGCGATGAGGATGTTCTTGGCCGAGACCTGTGGAGCATGGGCGCCAAACTGCTCCCCTGCCAAAGTGGGTGTTGGGTGTGACGGTGGGGGACTCTCCATTTCCCCCCCCCCCCCTTTTTGGTTGGTCTGGCAAACTTCCACCCCATGCAACTACAACTCAGATTCCTTAGAGAGGAAGTCCTAGCCCAACAAAATGGTCTGAACTGTTCAAATGTCCCGAAAAGCTTGAAGTTAACTCAGGGAGCGAACGAATCCAATATTCGACCTTTGGGTGTTCGTCTTTCGGACACTCGTTGCGCAACCTCGAGTTGATTTCGCAAAAGGCATCCCACCAGACTCGGCTCAGTGGATGACGCTCTGAGCAAACATTGCACAAAACAGAACGCCATCAAGGCGACATCCGTAACAAACTGCCATCAAGATGGTACAAACCCAAAGGCAAGCAGGGTATGTCTTTTGATTTTCTTACCCGGACGGTCCTTGGTACCTACTAAGGAGGTACTTAGACCCCTTTTTACACCTCAAAAGCAATCCTCAGGACCAGGAGGTACTTGGACCCTCTGGGTAATGAAAATCAAGGTACCTGCCAGATCAAAAACTCAGCTTCTCACGCAAGCGCGCCGGCGCGCCTGTTCCACAGAGCCCTTGCTGTTCTCCAAGGCAAGCGTGTTGGGACCCGTGAAGGTGGCAAATGCGTTGTAGTACCTGGCCGCTCTTGCCTTTGGCGCGCGCACAAACTTCCAAACTCCAAACCGAGCGCTCGGGAGAGGGCCCGTGACCTGCTTGCAACCAAGACTCTGGGCTGTCCGTTTTCAGATTTCCTGCTAAAACTGAACTTTTGTTGTGGGTTAGAAAGCAAAAACTAAGGGGATGGCTGGGAACCACCAAGTAATCACGCCAATGGAGCTCTGGAATCCTCATTCCCAATTAAAAAGTAGTATTGCCCAATACCAAAGTCTCCCCGACTGTTTCCGTTCCCAACATCTGATTTGTGCGAGAAAAAGCCCTCTGGGGGAATATTAATCCGATGTCAACATGATATATATATATATATATATATATATATATGGGTATGTGTTTTTTTTGACGTGGCCGTGCCGGGAGGTTGGTATAAGGGGTATGAATCGCAGGTATGGTTCGGGGTATGGCTCGGGGGTATGATTCGGGGTATGGCTCGCGCGCCTCTGAACTCTTGCTTTGTGGCTTTGGACACTGCAAAGCTCCCGTGCGCTGGCAACTGGATAGCCGTGAGAATTTGGACCGCTAAGTTGCTACAAGCCAGCCTGGGGCGCTTGTGCGTGGCCTGAACTAGACAGCTGCCACTCTGGGTTAGCGAAAGCTGCTGCGCTAGGTGGAAGGCGCAGAGCCACTGCCTGAGGCGAACGTCATGGCCACCTCCACTTGGAGTTCAAGCGACCCGCGTGCTCACAGACCCAAGCAAGCGTGGCTTAAGGGGAAGCGCCGCTGCCCAGTCAGGCCCGCCACCCGCACCAGTCACGAACCAGCGTAAGGGCAACACAGCGTGACATCCTCAAATTGGAGCCGCGCACAGGCTAGTGGGCCTCTCACAGGTGGTGTACCGTGTCGCGCTTGATACATCGCAGTAAGCCTTCCGAACCCACCTTCTTGCGAACTTCTGCGAAAAGAGCCGCGAGCTGGTTCCTGCAGTGCTTCTCTTTGAGTTTTGTGTCTTCTGAGGATTTGGGCGGCATAGCTTCGCTAGTACTGCCCAGAGCGCAAGAGGCTCTTGCCTGCAAATGGCAGCAGAAGGGTATGAATCGGGGTATGAATCGGGTATCAATCGGGGGTATGAATCGGGGGACAGATTTTTTTCGACCGGAAAGACACCAAGAGTACCCCAGGAGCACAAAGACAGCTTGTGTTTCACTGCGACAGTGGCCCAGGACAGACAGCTTCCACCGCGTCGGACAGACTGCAGG